CATGTCAATGGGTTTTTAGAGTACACCGGTGAACACATCGTTCACAAACACCTACAAGTTGCGAGCCTGCTAGTGTTCCACTGACTGTCTATAATATTTTGTGGTTGTCATCCATACTCTGCTGAATGACGGGGGCCATCGTTTGGGTAAAGGTTTCACAGGTAGTCCTACAAATCTACCCGACTAGCATATCAACTGGCATACATCACTAACTCAACTCAGCATATCAATAACTGCTAGGATATCAAATCCAGTGGGTCGGCCTTGGTGTCTTAGACCCCTTAGTATAGTGAGGATAACTCACCTTGCGAATGTCGGATCAGTAACTAAACTCCAACTCTCAGATCACGACCGCAACTCCACCACCTATTATCATAATAGACCCATACTCGTAAGTTCTCAATCTTCCAAGGTACCCCATAAGTCAACTAGTCAACCCTCCGGTCAAAGTCAAAGTAACAATCAAGGTCACCAATCCATGTTGACCCTTACTCGTCGAGTACCCTCGACTACTCATCGAGTTCCTCGGAATACTCGTCAACTCGCCGAGTCCCTGAAGTGACTCGTCGAGTTCCTTTGGTTCGCGATCGAATCCCTAAGGCCACTCATCGGGTTTTCCTTCTTGCAACTCGAAATTTTCGCACACATTCATCAATTTGGGGAAACATTAACCGACTCACCGAGTTGTTCATCCAACTCGTCGAGTCTATGACAATCTTCATTGGGCTCACCGAGTTGATCATCCAAATCGTCGAGTTCTATGTCTATCTTCATGTGACTCGCCGAGTCGACTATGTGACTCGTCTAGTCCCTTCAGTCCTTTAACCATGCAGGCACCTTTTGAGCCATCCAAGGCCCCAAATAGCATATCCAACTTCCCTATGCTTGCTTATCACGTAAATTTGCAAACTTTACGTGCATGCATGGCTAAAAAGGCTCTAAATAACAAATCCAAGCTTATAAAGGGGGTTTACACTCAAGGGAGGCTTCATTCATGACAACAGCTCAAACTTTTTGAATCTAAATCCCAATAAGGGTCCAGATCTGAAGTTACAACTTTAGATCTAGATCATACACCACAATATCATCACAACCAAGCCAAAATAACCCTAAATTTCACCCAAAAGAGGTCTAGAAAGAAATGAGGTAAAGGTGGTGAATTTATACCTTTAAAGGATGCTAACATAGGTAGATTTTTGATTCCCCACACTTTCCTTGCTTCTAGCCTCTTGCCCTCCAAGCTCTTCTTCCCAAGGATAATCTTTTCAAGCTTAAAACACACTAAAATGAATCACAACACGGATTAGGGTTCTCTGCACTCTCAAGGGGCTGTAAAGAAGCCAAAGGGACATATGATTCTTTAAATAGGGTGCAAAACCCCGTGATTTAGGGTTTCATCTGCCAGCTCCTACTCGTCGAGTCCTTTCTTGGACTCGGCAAGTAGGCCACTAAATTCACGAACCAACCCGCTGCTACTCGACGAGTAAGGCAACCAACTAGTCGAGTAGACCTTGGAAACAAAAGAATTCTTATTTAAATCAATACCTGAGAATCGGGGCGTTAAAACTCTCCCCCAATTGAATTAGACTTTGCCCTCGAAGTTCGGTACGATGAACAATGTTGGGTAATGCTCCCGCATTTCTGCCTCCGACTCCCACGTCCACTCAGATCCCCTCCGATGCTCCCACTGTACCTTCACCAAAGGTATCTCCTTATTCCACAAAACTTTCTTCTTCTTCTTCTCAATAATGGCCACAAGCCTCTCCACATAATTCAGGCGCTCATCAACCTGAATATCATCCAATGGCACCACTGCCTCCTGATCCACAATGCACTTACGCAACTGCGAAACATGGAAAGTGTTGTGGATCCGACCAAGCTCCTCCGGAAGCTCTAACCTGTATGCCACTTTGCCAACCCTGGCAATAACCCTGAATGACCCAATGTATCGGGGACCCAATTTCCCCCGCTTCCTAAAGCGAATCACACCATTCCAAGGCGAGACCTTTAGAAGCACCATATCATCCACCTGAAACTCTAACTCAGATCGGTGCCTATCGGCGTTTAAATAGGCTGCAAAACCTCAAATTTAGGGTTTTACTCAAACAACACCTACTCATCGAGTAGGTCACTTAGACTGTCCGCGGATCTCAACTCTACTCGACGAGTTGGGCCTCCAACTCGTCGATTCCCAGAGAAAAACACAATAAATGCTTGAATTAACTGCGTTCCAGGAATCGAGTGTTACATTTAGGGCTATTTCTAGTGTGATGTGGAATTATTTCTGGTTTGGGGCATGATCTGAAGTTGTAACTTTAGATCTGGACTCCTCAAGCCCCTTATAGTCATAAATTTCTAGTCTTTAGCAAGTAATGGCCTTCTCCTTATCTAGAACTTATTGTTTAGCTTGGTCTTGGGCTTTAAGACCTTTCATACACGTAAAGTTTGCAACTTTACGTGATAATTATGCCTTAGGAAGCTAGATCTACAATTTGGAGCTTTTGGGGTAACTTAAAAATGTCTAAATGAGAAATTGACTAAAGGGACTCGACGAGTTGCATGGTCAACTCGACGATTCAGATGAAGATTGGTCATTGTTGGTTTCTGCATGGACTCGACGAGTCAGTGAGACGACTCGATGAGTCAGTTAGGGTTTTCCCGATATTTGGACATCGTATGGACTCGACGAGTTGCCTGGGAACTCTGCGAGTCAACTAGGTTTTTCATGATTTATCAGGTTCTGGAAGGACTCAACGAGTCAGTGGGCTACACTCGACGAGTTGGGTCAACATGGACTGTTGACCTTGACCGTTGACTTCGATTTTGACCAATAGTTGACCAATTTGACTTCTGGGGGTATTTTGGTAATTTGGGAATTTATGAAAGTGGATCATTGGTGGATGTAGGGGATTGATTTTGGAGTTGCATTTGGGGAGTTTGACATTTATCATCCCGAGCTACCTGTGAGGTGAGTTGTCCTCACTATATTAACAGGGTTGAAGGCACCAATGTCGACCCTTTTCGGATTTGTATCCGGATTTATTGCATGATACGCTTATTGATTTAAAACATGGTAGTTAGGATGGTGATATGCTTAGTGACCTCATAGGTCGGTATCCTGTTATATAGGATAATGCTATGTTAGTGACTGGTTAGGTTGGTATCCTGGTTATATGATGTTGATATGATTAGTGATCTTTTAGATCGGTTTGACTGTTATATATGCTAGTGTATGATATTTATGTGCACATGATTGTTTGATTGGGGGTTGGGTTGATGTGGACCTGCTTTGTGCTGAAGGCCAACATACCCAGGACAAACCAGATAGACTGCAGACCCAGTTAGGGTATACTAGTCACGCCGAAGTCCCGACGAGCGGTCCAGATAGTCTAAAGGCCTTGAGAGGCAGTCCAGACGTGCCGATGGCTCGGAGAGCGATCCAGATAGACTGATGGCCCTGCGAGACGGTCCAGTCAGGCTGATGACTCATTATGCATGCTGTTTGTTTATATGATATTGATATGGTTTGTGTGGCGTTGGTATTTTTGGGGGAACTCGCCAAGCTTCGGGTTTATAGTTGTGGATTTTGTTTTAGGTACTTTTGATGATTGCGGGAAGGCGAAGGCGTGATCGTGCACCTCCTTATATTTTTATGATTTGATTATGGGATACTCTGATATGAAACCATTTTGAAAACAAATTTGCAATAATTATTGGTTTTTGAATGATTTAAAAAGTTTTAAATTGGCTTGAATTTTATGGGTGTTATAACATGAAATTATACAGGCGATGTATTACACATTTCTACGATCTCAGTTGATAAAAGGAAATCACAAATGAAACTGAAGTAAATTGCAGATGGGACAAATGATATGAAATTGCAAATGGAGCAAAGGAAATCGATGATGCTCAAATGTCATCTATGATCTCATCATACCAAAATGCAAGATTTGATTTTTTTTTTTTTTTTTTTGTTTTGTTTTCTACCTTTGATGAACTCACACCTCTAACCCCAAAATAACAGTCCAAATGACGAAATCACATTTTCTTTTTTGTTTTTCTATATTTGTTAATAATATTTTTCAGTTCTAGATGCATCTTTTTTTAATGTATGTAATTTTTTACGAACTTTGTAGATATTGTTTGCAATATTTTCTTAATTATTTTTATTATTTTCTTTTTTTATGTTTTTCAAAATTAGTTTCTTTTAAGAATAAAACTGATAGCTTGTTTTACATTTTTTTAAAGATTTTATTTTAAAAAGTTTTATATTTTTATTTTTTTAGATGTTTTTTTAGTATTATTTTTTTCAATATTTTAATACTAGAATTATCAAAATTTCGGTAATAAGAACTATTTTCATTTTATAAAATTAGTTTATTTAAATTTCAGTTTACTGAAACAGTCTGCAAATGTTAAAAAACAAACATTGCTTTTTATTATAGGCTGCAACCGTTTGTTTCACCTCTTCTACTCCAGAAGGTTGCAGAGATGATCTGCAGACTTCATGAATTCGAAGTGAACAACACCTTAATAAAAACAATCAATATCAAACAAGTGAAATAAGGAGTATGAAATTGATCAAAACTGGTGAGTTGTTTGAATAGGGAAAAAAGAAAGTGTTTCTTGTTTATTGGTTATTCCGATCATAATAAGGTAAGTTTAAGTGTTTGTATAGAAATCCTTAAAAATCAGTATAAGTTAAATTTAAGTGTTTGTATAGAAATCCTTAAAAATCAGATTATTGTGGTAAGGATAAACTAAGGGAACTGATTTGTACACAACATTTTTTCTCCGCACACAACAATTTGTGCTTTAAAGTATTGTATTGTACAACTCTATAATGCATAAATTGTTGTGTACGGCAAAAAATTATTGTGTACGAATCACTTCCCATAAACTAAATAAACTGATTTTAATATAAACTGATTTTAATTGTGGTAAGGATAAACTAAACTGATTTTAATATACATCTCCTCAATGTTTGCTAATTTATCCGCAAGAAACCGTTTATAGTTGGAACAAAATTGGGTAGCAAAGGGACACGAGAACTTTCTCTGGGCTTTTTCCACATCGTTTATTTCTCCGACCTGTAAACGAAAATGGCAGAAACTGCGTTCAGATGTCACGATCTGATGCTTCCAATTCCATACATATAATAGATATTCATATCTTTCACTTTCACGGAGAATTAACCCTAGCTTTTTACTACATACAAAACAGTTACACATATCAGCAGAGAGAAAGAATGGTGCTATGGGAGATCACATTGGGAACAGCGTATTTTTTGGGATTGAAGAGGACATACAAGCTTGCTCTCAGAATTCAACGACGTCTTGTTGGTCCTACACGCCCTAAGATTCGTCAATTCCTTCAAAGGTATCTTCATCCCTATATCTGTATATACGTATATTAACTTATCTCTTGTATATTTCTGTGATTTGGACGCTCTTTCGATCTGCCTTTACTAATATGCTACTTGTTCTCGAAGTTAATCGATCGATGTATTTTGCTTTAATTAATTTTGATCATACACTAGGAATGTAATTTTGGGGTTTCGTTTCCTACTGTCCTAAATTCATTTCTTCTGATGAATTGTTATTATAGTAGGCACTTTTTTCTTCATTTCTTATTGACTGGGCCATTTTGCTTTATGCATCTATAAATCTGATGAACAGAGACTTCATGAACCTGTTATATTTGGTATCCATGAGAAGAAGCTTATTTCTTATTATCAGATTAACTAAATCAAGCTCTTGTTTGCTTTGTTTGTTATATGATATAGGAAAACACGATCCATATTTGATGTGGCACTAAAGGTTCATCGTGAGGTACAACAAAGAGACATTGAAGTTGGTAGAAACCTTGGTAATTGGATCCTCAGATGGCTTGACAAAATGAAACCAGCTGCCCAGATACGCTCTCATCCCCATTCCCATCCTAATTCCAATTCCCATCCCCATCCCCATTCCCATTCCCATTCCAATTCCAATTCCAAATCCAGCAACAATAATAATAGTAATCCACAGAAAACAACAACCAAAAGCTATTCAACCAACTCTTTTCACCATAAACCAACTCCAATCAGCAATGAAACAAGAAACAATAAGCATCTGTTTACTTCAAGAAAAACTTGGCATTCACCATACCCAAGTATTGGTATGATGATGAGGCCACAGATTGGAATTAATAATACTCACTACAGACGTTTTCAGTTGGATGGGGTGATTCGGAATGATATAATGCAATGGATGATGATGAATAACTAGAAAAAGTGAGTGAAAAATCATTGAAATTGAGTGTTTCAGATGAATTTGTATATTCCCCTAATTCTGAAGCTTGTTATGGATTTTGTATATTCAATTGATTGTTCAGATGCTTTTGAAGCTTCTTTATCAAGCTTTCCAGTGGTAAATTTGTTAGTTAGACGAAGCATGTTATTGTTATCATTTTAATTGAACACTTGCAAAGTAAATAAGATTTGACTTCTCTTTTTAAAAAATGGTTTGTCAGAACAATTTGACCTGAATTTTTTAAGGAAAAGAAATAAAAAGGTCATCACTGGAAGCACTATGCACAAAATGATGATAATGTCGTGCTCAAACAACATACACATGTTTTAACAACTTCATCATATTTAGGACCACTAGTGTTTTTAGCATCTGTTAGGAAAACCTCATTGTTAATAGAATATTTTTTAAATTTCTAACAGGATATTGTCACCACAAAAATTATTTTTGGGGCACGAAAGACGGGTAAGTTTTTTCCAATATTTTTGAGAAAATTTGTTCGTCAAAACAATCAAGTAATATTCGTTTGTAGATATCTGATTCGATAAATTGGTTATTAAACCTACATGCGTCCTCATAGGAAAATTAAAAGAACATATAGGCATTCATTTCTAGTTGTAATACGTAAGTATTAATTTCAATAAGTTATTATGTTTCTTTTGAGTTATTAGTAATATTTTTACAAGCAATTCTTATAAATTAAGGCATTTGCTACCAAATAACACAAAAGTTAAGTTTCATACACAACATATTTTCTACAAAACTAACATTATTTGTGGGAGTAAAGACTAAGGTTTTTCATGTATTAGACATGGAACGACATATTTTCTAAAAAACTAACATCATTCCGAACCTGTTTATCGTATGGAACGACGTTTACAAATAACTACCAAAAAAAAAAAAAAAATTGTTTTGGTTTGTGAAAATCATACTTATAACAATTTTGTTATATTCCGTCATAAAAGATGTGGTCAATATATCATTATCACTCCTTTTTTAATTTGACATAGAAAGTGATGATATTTTTTTTAAAACAAGTTCTTATATGCAGTCGACACCCTGTGCCTCCTTTTGGCTATTCCCCATCACATCCCCTTCACCTCTAAATTATCATCGGGTCCATTTGAATTCTCCCACATCAGTTGTTGCCATTTCTTTCACCAACCCAACCTCCGATTAACCTTGAGTTTCACTCTCTTACGATCACTCCCTTCTCGGATCGGTAGAGTTTCTGTCCCGATTGGAATTGTTCTTCGTTCCATAATTGAAATCAAAATTGTTCAATTTAGGGTTCATTCGAGGGATTTAATATGAGTTTTCAAGATATTGAAGCGGGTCGCCCGCTCAATTCTCGACGCGCGGGCTACACGGGCATGAAGCCACAAGACCCAACCCAAGCTATTGCTTCTGGAATCTTCCAGATCAATACTGCTGTCTCTACGTTTCAGAGGCTAGTAAATACTCTTGGTACCCCTAAAGACACCCCCGAGCTCCGTGAAAAGCTGTACGTCGGATTGAATTTTCCTTTTTCGTTTACGGTCATTTTAGGGTTTCGAAGCTGGTATCTATTTAACATTTTAGTATCTGTTTTTTTGACTCATATACATGTTTTGGTGTATAATTAGGCTCAGGTCAGTAGTTTTTATAATCGAATTATGTCACGAAATGATATTTGATCATAGTTTGTGTAGCTAGGATTCTACAGTCGAGTAAAGCAATATGATATAATCTTAAATCATAAGGGATTAGCTCTTGATAGCAATTTGAATGAGAAATGATCCATTTCAACATGATCATACATTCATACTGGGAGCTTTTGGTAATCACGATTTTTCTGAAGCTAAATAAACTATAAAAAAGCAGAATTTATGAAAGATCTGTAGAGTTTTAGGTGAACGATGAGATCATGTTAAAGTACAATACTTTATTCAAAAAATTTCATGTCTTTTCATTGAGTATTGGTTTTGGGGTTTCTGACTCTGAGCTTCTCTGAATGGTAGGCATAAAACAAGACTACATATTGGGCAACTGGTGAAGGATACATCTGAAAAACTTAAGCAAGCCAGTGAAACAGATCATCGTGCTGAAGTTAGTGTAAGTAAAACTCCCTCTTCCCCTTAGACACATAATCCTCAAGATTGTTTAGAATTTGTGTAAACTTGTGGTGATTGAATGTTTTCATTTTTATACAGGCCAGCAAAAAGATAACAGATGCTAAACTTGCTAAAGATTTTCAAGCAGTTTTAAAAGAATTTCAAAAAGCACAACGCCTTGCAGCTGAAAGAGAGACAGCTTACTCTCCTGCTGTTCCTCAAGCTATTCACTCCTCACGGTTAGTTGCCTTTTAAACCTTCAATTACCAAATTTGCCCTTATGATGTGGCTTAATGAACAAATAATCTGTAAGTTTTTGCAAATGATCTGCAGTAATGAAGCTGGTGAAGTGGATGCAAGCTCAGGCAGAAGTCCAGAACAGCATGCCCTTCTTGTCCAATCTAAAAGGCAAGTTTTCTGCTTTCACCCATTATTAATATATAGATTATTATTACTATAATTAAATTATTATTAGTATATTAGCAGACAGGAAGTGTTGTTATTGGACAATGAGATTGCATTCAATGAGGCTATAATTGAGGAAAGAGATCAGGGAATACAAGAGATTCAGAACCAAATTGGTGAGGTGAATGAAATATTTAAAGATCTTGCTGTTTTGGTTCATGAACAAGGAACTATGATCGGTAAGTATAATTTCCACATTTGCCCTTTTTCACTTCTTAATTTTTTGTTAATTCTTATTGTTGTGATGTGAGGAATTTGTTTCAGATGATATTGGGTCAAACATCGAGAACTCTCATGCTGCAACTTTACAGGGAAAATCCCATCTTGCTAAAGCATCAAAGACTCAAAGATCAAACTCTTCTATGGTATATAATTTTTTTTCTTTATATTAAAAGAAAGAATTTGAGTTTATATGTTTTTGTAAAAATGTTGATTGTGTGATATTTGATCCATGCAGACTTGCTTGCTTATGGTGATCTTAGGGATTGTGCTTCTGATTGTGATCATAATACTTGTGGTCTGATCTTGAATATTGGTAATGGAAGATTCTGTCTTTTGTTTGTATATGTTGAATTTCTTATTTCTTGTGAGTTCTTTGCAGGGTTTCTTTCTGCTAAATTTGATTTTTTTTTTTTGGGGGGGTTGTGGGGTATTAATTTGTTTTATGGTATTTGGTTAATGTATAAATCCTGCAGCCTTTTTGGTAGATTGAATGTTGCACTTTTTGTTTCTGGAAAATAAATTGTGTAGTTTGTTAAAGGTGATGAAAGTTGCATACGTATATGCTTTGGCTCAAAAGAAACCAATAAGATTGTCATTTTTTAGGTGTGGCTTGATATGTGTGGAGTAAACTACAAATTGGTTTTTGTTCGAGTACATAAAGAATTCTTTTAACTTATTTTGTCCTTATTGATTTAGTTCGGTTTTGGCCCCTGACAACACACCTCTGTTATTTATTAACCCTTGTAAAATGGGCTCTTTTCCATTACCTTTGCTTCTTCACAAATATTTTTTAAAGTAAATTACACATATAAATTAGAGCTAAAAATTGACCAGCATTGAAGTCACTAAAACTCCATAACAACAATCTATAACTCCATGGTGTTGGAGTTGGTGTCTAAGACGCCATCTTCAAGTGTGTTGTAGAAAGTGTCTCGGGAATTAGGATTTTAATGCATATTTAAAGGAGACAAAACCATAATTGAAAACTCTCTTCTCTCCTATGATTTTCCTGATTTTGGAGGCTTACAAACACATTCAAACCTTCTCCAAACATGGTTGTAGCCACTCCAATGTGGATTGAATGTGAGATTTCATTGGATTCATCATCAAACAACGTTTGAAGATTATTCAATCAGTGGATCATCATCAATTTCATTCAATCATCAAACAACGTTTGAAGATTGTAATAGGTAATTGCAAGACATTTTATTGTCAATTCACTGATTATTCCTAATCCAATTAGACTTAGTTAGTAAGACAACTAGTTGAATGAACATATTGTATACCCAAAATTATATGTTACAAGATAATAAACCCTAACTTCATCTGAGTAATTGAATTAGGATTTTAAGAAAAAAAGTATATGAATTTGAACTGTCCTACAACTAAAGCAGGAGTACCTTACTTTTCTCATTGAGAGTTTCGTTTTAATTAATAAGGTTTCAATCCTTTTGTTTAATCTTTGGTTAAATCTTTTTCGTGACAATTACAAGCAATAAATTTTCCGTTGATTATTTTGACACAATTTAACTGAAACTCATCGTGGATTTGACCCTTACTTCCTCTAACTATCTATGGTTTTTGAAGTTATTTTTAATTGAGACGACGACCTTGATCAAAATTTTTGTGATTTGGGGATGATCGGGTCGAGTGGGGAGAAGAAAGCAGTGGGGTAAAGGTTGGGTCCACTTAATAAGTAATAATAAAAGTTAATATAAAATACAAATAAAAAATAAAAACATTTTACTAGAATTTAAAAATAAAAGAGAAGGTAAACCAAAACCAAAATAAATCAAGACGAATGCCAAAATAATAAAAAGATTCACTTTTGGGAACCAAAACACCAGAGCAGTAAAATCAACCACATGGTCCAAGAAGAAGGTGTTATCCACTTATCAATAAGATGCGTGGTTATGATTATTTATTTAAACACGTGCGGAAGTGGAACATTCGAGCAATGTCGTTAAAGAAAATTGTCCCTCGTATATCTACACCGATTTGTTTATAAGATATAGTAAAGAGTTGGAATATTTACAGAGAATCAAAAAGTATTTATAAATTATAATATATTATTTATTTATTTACTCAACTATATTATGTGATTATGCTTATATTTTTATCTGCAACTTTTTTCTTGGTTGCTTTGTTGCAATTTTACTTGACAAATATTTTTTTTAGAAGCAAACAATTCAATTCAATTCAATTCACTTTCGTTTTCTTCCTCCTATTAAAAGTATTATAAGTCTAGAAATATACGGAGTAACAATTTTCTCAAAAGTTAAGGTAAAATATGGGGTCAAAATACCAGAAACCATCCAAATCTTTAACTTCTTAACTTAACCCTTGATAAAAACTATACTGCTGTAAAAAAAAAATCTAATAAATCTAGAACCAATCTCACACACACTTCCAGGTAACATAAAACTGAACTCAAAATACCGGTAACAATCCAAACTTTTTAACTTAACCCTAGAATACTTGTTTTAAGAGTACATAAAAGTAATAGAAACTCTTAACACTTCACCTCCTTCAACCCAACACCAAAGTACAAGAATGTTGGATCAGTTGCACCTTCTTTGTAATAAGCAAACACAATGCTGCTATCATCATGCATACTCTCTCCAACAAAACTACACATAACATTAACACCAAGTTTTTAAATTACATGTAAAAATATGGACTCCATTCATAAATTAAAGCAAAAAAAAAAAAAAAAAAAAAAAAAAAACTTACAATTGAAGGTCACTAAGCTTTGAGAGGAGGTACTTTGTTGCAGCTTCAATGTTTTTCTTGAAGAACTCTTGTTGCTCTGCATCTAGTTTTGGGGTAAGTTGTTTGATGTATTTCTTTATATAACCAACAAACTGTTTCTTATCGAATGGAGGTTGCTCCTGCATTTTTAGTGATTTAAAAGTGTTAAAAACTAAAAAAGTGGAATGTCAATATGTAATTCACAATCACTGAAAGTAGTAAACTTATTTATACCTGGAGTCTGAAGGTGTCAACAATGTCAACAACCTTCACAGCTTGATCATCAACGCCTTCATCTTCTTCACCTCCTTCTGCAGAAGGATTTGCACCTATGTTGACATCAACAGCTCCTTGAACAACCCACTGTATGTGTAAAAGTAGAAGAAAACAATATGAATCATTACCATAAATTCATAATAGCTTCACAGATAATGAAAGATTACGAGAGTGAAAGACTAACCTTTCCTTCGACTTCCCAAAGAATCCCATTTAAAATCTCCTTGTATGGAAAGGAATCCGAAAGAAGCTCATCGCCTACATTACATAATCAAATTTAGATCAAGAGCACATTCGTTCCGAATCACTAACGATTTGAATAATTGAGCAACTAAAGAAGCTAATCATGA